ACTGGTCATCCTCGCATGCCAATCGTGCATCCCCATTGATAGCGTGTATCTCAGCCATCTCTCGTGCTAGCCTCTTGCGTGCGTGGTAAGCGCGACTTGCGGTGTTTTTTAGCTGCCTAGCCACTTCCGCATCACAGCATCCGTTCGCGTTCGCCTGCATCCCGCGCGTCTCGCTCAGCGCCCGACGTGCACACACGCATCCTGCCAGCACTCTTCCGCATCACGCCATCAGTCCGCGACCGTGCTCACGACCCGCGTACACGCACGTTGTCCGCGCCCGACGCGCACGAGCTGCCCGCTGCGGCCCGACGCCGAGACCCACGTGCCGTTCGACCGTGATCCGTTTGACGTGTCGATTAAAATCGACTAAAGGCCAAACCTATCTGCCCATTAGGTTGTGGTGTTCCGACGAATTTCATAAACGGTACTCTACATCGTCTCAGAGTCGGCAAAAATTTTAAAAGGTAAACGTCCATATCCTAACTTTAGATTCAGCTGCGTTAGGATTTATTTCTATAAAGTTCAATATTGTGCATGTTGTTTAGCGTTCCTAACAGAACCCAACACATCAAACATTCATCGTCAAATCATATAATCCATCTATAACATGCTCAACACAACAAATACTAAAAACTAGACCGGTCCACCACATAAGCATGCAAAATCCAAATAGACTCTCCCACACTTAGAATGAGGCTATGACTTCATTGCTTCAACATAAAACTGAAAATCACATAATAGGACCTAGCATTTTCATATAATGAACCAAACTAGCAGCTAACACAAGACACAAACTCAAAAGAAAAGACAAAAGAAAGAGACAATTCAAAAAGACAAAATAGAAAAAGGGTGTGCAAACCGAAATCCTCGAGGAGGATAAGTATCCACGTGCAAGCTGCTAGCCTATGCTCAGCCCAGAACCTTGATATTCATTCAATGCAATTCTCCTGCTCGAGCTCGCAAGTAGAACCTATCGAGAAAAAATACAAAACTCCAAAACCCCCATTATTATAAAAAATAAAACTAAAAAGCATAAAACAAAATATCTACGAAAGCAGTAAATCACTTGGGTTGCCACCCAAGAAGCGCTTGTTTGACGTCATTAGATTGACGAAATAATCTAAGAAGAAGTGACGGTCGTGCCACGCCTTCGTATTTTCAAGAAGTGGTAGCTCGGGCAATGTGGCCAGAAGGCGGGCATGGTGGGTCAGGTGGCTATGTTCAGAAGGAAATAGGTTCGGGCCCGAGCAATGCCCAATTCCAAATGTAGAGCTTTTCCCACCCGAGCTCTATGGTCAACCTCCAAAATGATAAGTACATCTGTGGAGCAAGTCGAACTGAATCCATCCCTCTTCGTAACATAGTGTAACAACCCTAAAGACGGATGCTCCAACCTCGGAGGTGGGAGGAGGGACTTGAGAATCAAGCCCATGGATCTCCTCTTCTGAAATATCATCAAGCTTATCATCATCTTCTTCGGCCTCACACATTTGCTTTATCGTGCGGGCTTGCGTATCAAGCATGAGGTGGGGATCGTCGACTTCTGCCTTGATTATGCTGATATGTGCTACAAGAATCTCCATTTGTGTGCTCAGCCGAGCACGCCCTAGCTCAATCTCCACATCTCGAGTGGCCTGGGCTGATATGCGAGCAAGGATGAGGTCGAGCTTCTCATCGAACAACAAAGCAGCCTCCCGAGGCTCGTCCCTATGTGTAGGTTTACCTTGAACGGTGGGCTCGGGAGTGACACTAGTAACTCGGTCCTCTAAGGCTTGCACGCTGATATGGGATATTATATACACAAAGCTAAACCGGTCGACTCAGCCGGTTGAGAAGATCAAGTTAGGAGGAAGCCAGAACGAGAGACAAGAGGATCGATCATTTAA